AAAAAGCAGCCAAGACCCGCAAAGCCATTCCCAAGGGGAAAAAAAAAAAAAAAAAAAAAAAAAAAACCCATCTCGGTGGGTGTGGAAAAAAAAATCTCGGTCACAGGGATGGGAAAAAAAAAAGAAGAACTTGAAGGGAAAATAAAAAATAACAAGCAACGACGAGTGGCCGCCTGATTTTGCCGATTACAAACTTTCAACCAGGTAGAACTGCAAAGGTACCTGTTGTTTTTCAGTTTCAAACTGCTCTTGGCCCGAACTTGCGGTGTACTGTTATTCCTGCGAATTTGAAACTCCACACCGCACCTGGGAGTAGTTATTGCTTTTGCGTTCTTAATGAGCTAAGTATCTTGAGGCGACCAAAAAGTGACCTGTCCCGTCAAAAGTTTACGGAATAGGGTCTTGGGGTGAGATCCCACTCGCAAAGGGGAATAAGGGTTGTGGACAGGTGCAGAAAAACGACCGATCTTTCTGCATCTCTGCATAAAACACATCCAGATTCATCCGCTTCACCCAATCCACTTTGCCAGTGGGGCCTCTTCTTCTTTTCCAACCGTAGATTACTGGTCTATCCACACCAGGGGCCAAGTCCCACTTATGATGATTCTTCATTTCTGACCGTTGTTCTTCGTAATCTGTGGTCCGAAATTGACAACTCGCATATTAAGTGGGACTTGGCCCCAGGAAAGAGAAATCCTGGTGAATGAGACTCAACCCCTGCTGCACCTCACATTAAGTGTTCAGTTGCCAAGTTATTATTGAATAAATTCACAAATCACTCGTGCATATCAAAATTTAAAACTTTAAACCCTAAACCCTAAACCCTAAACCCCAGTTGTTATACTGAAAAAACAACATATGTTTCGTCCACAAGAACGCCTCTGCCCCGGCCATGGACCACTATGTATGAACTTGTCAATACGTGCAAACTAGGTAGAGTATAACCTGAATGCATCCCAACCACCGTGCTCTGGCTCATGGCCTTTCAAGACAAACGGCAGAGTCTGACTCATTTCCTCCTCCCGGTCCTCAGAACTCTTATTCCAGGCAATAAAATGATGATCATTGTGGGACGGACTGACGTATACATATCAATGGAATGCAAACGAGTGCTGTTTCTCCTCCCCCGCCCCCCTCCCCCCCCGGCTTTTGAAATGCAAACGAGTTTCATACCTCATAGTGGTGTATCGACCATCACGGATTATAGAGGTATTCCAAATCTGGAAATTTGTGGTTGGCTGAATGCTGGGTAACGACTTGGCCAGTAAGGCATATGGTCGAACGCTCCCTCCACTGTCTCCTTCTCCTCCTCCAGAGTTCAAGGGCCAGCCGATAACGGCCTCGCTGCCAACCATGTACCCATCAGGAGACCAGCCGATAGCCACCCACCCTCTGCTTTTGACTTGCACGGCCATTCGGATGGCTGTCTCCTCCTCCAAGGACCAATGAACAGAGTATCTGCGAGATGGCAACCCCCCCAAAAAACACAAACCAACCGAAGCACGACCCCGCAAAACCCAACCAAAGCTTGACTCCACAGACCCCAAAGGACCGCAACACACCAGAAACCAGCCAAAACATTACCCAGAAAGACTGCAGACAAAACAGGAACTAACCAAAGTCCAAAGCCTGCGTACTGGTATGGCCGTAATCCCAACAAAGACTGTTAAGAACTTAAAAGAGTACTGAGATGATGTATCTAAGGGATGCTGGGCCCGATTGTCAGCAGGAAAAAAACAACAAAGGGGTAACTTCAGTAGAGTCACAAAAACGAGTTAAAAAAAAAAAACCAAAAAAAAAAGGAGTTATAATTGCACTATAGGCAAGAAGATCCAGTTTAAATTGCACTTCGGGCACCCTACCTGGCCACAAAGCTGGGTTGTATACATTGCTTGACCTGCAATTCGAAACTGTATCTTGGCCCATAGTGCAATTGTAACTCATTTTTGTGACTCCCACGTAAAACACACACCAAAATCACCAGATGTTAAAACCATGGGGTACTAAACATGCAACATCATTTTCGAAAGACAAAATCTCGTCCAAAGTAGACAGCAAAAACAAAGACAAACTCAACAACACATCGTGATCCTTAACTCAAATGCTAAACCTGGTCACCGGTTCCTACCAAACTGATTAGGCAGTGAGCGATAAGTATGTCGTATGTGTCAGCAAGTTAATCGTCAGACTCGTCACTCTTTCTTTCTTTTTTGTTTTTTTGGATACTGATCCATTCTGTTGAACCCTGCTGTAACAGAGGTTAGGCAAATGATTAGTACTCAATCAGTTTTCTTTCTTTTATTTGTCTTTCATAGGGGATGTGCTACCCTCAACACAGATTCACCAAACCATTTAGGCCATGGTGAAACCATCAGACCATCCAAGGGTAAATAGAAGGACCAAAAGCGCATTTTGCCGAACCTAAAAGTAACTGGCACTGAAAAAACGAAAAGAAGAGAGAAGAAAAGGGACTTCCACTAGGCCAAGCGGCCTAGCGCAGTTGGTTGAGCACGTAAGAGGTACAAAGGAGGGCGTGGGTTCGACTCCCCACGGCATCCATTCAATTCCCCACGACCCCCTGTGTGACATACTTCGGGTTCACCGACTGAGAAAGTCAGCTTGTCCCTCCTGGCTGGTTGTGGTGGGTGACTTGGGTCTCACTTTCCAGCCCCCACCAGGTGTTCGGAGCTTGGGTGCTGCTCCCGGCACAGAGCAGAGTTAGGTAGGCATAGACACATAAGTGACATAACCTCAGGACAGCTTACGCCAGTACACGGCCCCAGCCTTGCTGAAAAGAAACTCCTGACCTAGTATGCGGAAAAGTCAGTGCGAGCGCCCGGTCAATAAAAGAAATTGGCAGCCGGCGTTGGTTTTCAGCCTCTGACACGACCCCGCAGCTGATGTGAGGCGTGTACTGGTGGCTTAAGGCTGGTCCCCTGAATAGAGTAATTGCTGTAGCCCTAGACCTAGCCTTAGATTCTAGTCTTAGACCCTAAATCCCCTTGGTGTGTGGATGGGCTGTTGTTCGTCCGGGGTAGGTAATGAAAGGTAAAAATCAGGCTGATTACCTACCCTAGAGCTGAAAGGCTTATTTTCACCTTTCATTACCTACCCTAGAGCTGAAAGGCGGGTTAGTGCCGGGCCTGCCGGCATAGAGTCTAGGCCCTAGGGTCTAAGACTATGCACTAACCCGTCTTTCCGCCTTTCCATTTGCAAATTACTGGCCTCTGAGCTGTAGGACTCGAGGACTGGTCTCTTGTTCTTTTCTAATTCTTATTTTCTTTTTCTTTTTTTTGTTTCGTTTTTTTTTTTAACGTGTTCCCGGTCTCTGCCAGGTGAAAAGTTCAAGGCCAGCAAGTGGCATTCAGGAGGTCTTGGGTTCAATCCCCATTGGCCTCATGTACCTTCCTTGGCAAGCTTGGCGCCCGCCACATAGAGATATGGCGTTGGTCCCCCCCTTGTGGCATTGAGCAGAGACTGCTGATGTTCATAGGGGGAGGGGACCGGAGGGGAGGCACAGTGACTGGCCCATCGAAGAAGCTCAGTCCTGATGCTACCGGCTGACCCCTGGCCGGTATCGCCCACCTGCTGTAGCAGGTATCGCGCCTAGTTGGAGGCTTGAGCACAGATGTAGCTGCTAAGGGGTTCCAGGTAATAATACAATAATGACAATAAAAAAAGGCCTGAAAGGCCGTCCTGTCCAGATTTGACAGGTAATTGAATTGGTTGGGCTTAAAGAATTACTTCAAAAAAACAAGTAAAAGTTAAAAGGCGTTACCCACTGGGCTAGCTCCTAGCTCCCTACTACTTTTCAAATTTCAATAAAGCTTGTGCTCAATGTATTTTCAATAAAAGTTGTGTTCAATGTGCTACTATCTCTTCTGATTTCCTGAAAAGCTGCGTGCATGATACCTGCAGATACACACCGGACTCTAAGTTACTAAACAAGAAAAGGACGAACATATAAAGGTCAGGTGCAAGGAATCCGAGGATTCCCGCTTGAGCACAGAAACAGCCTGAGTCCTCTTTGGGTCTGTTTGCTATTAATGTACGTTTTCTGGTCATGACTCGAGGTGCTGACCTTTCCAGAATGTCACCCGTTTATCTGTGCAGTGTGCACCATTTTCCCAGTTTGAATTGCCCTGCTTGGTTTCTTGATGCATTGGACGATGACAGTTGCGGCCTATCAGCTAGGAGCGCACAAAAGACCACCAGGGGCAGCTGGCAGGCGTCAGTGGCATCATGTCCGTGCTAAGGAAGCATGAAGCTGGCCATCATGAGGGCCAAGGTCGTGGTTTGTAACACAAACGCAGTGCCTGTGAGGATGCAAGGATGACAGTGCGAGCTCACCTGCTTCCGGAAGTGGTCACTCGGAAAGCGCAATCGTAACCGTCCAGCCAAGATCGACGACAACTCCTAGTATCTCTGCTTGTATCTGCACCAACAACGAGGTTGACGTTCCCGAAGCTTCCACGGTTCCCTTTGCCATGATACTTGATCTCGTCTGCCACATAAAACCCCCTCACCTTCTGCTGGTACGGCGCCATTTCCGCCGTTGCGAACAACTCCATGTCGTTGGGAGCTATGGCGACGGTGGGCACCGTCAGCCCTGATGAAGATAGCGATGATGATGATGATGATGATGATGATGATGATGATGATGATGATGATGATGATGATGATCCCGATGTCATCGTTCCAGAAGCTCCAGCACTTTCCCAGTAACCCATCGCCCATACCACAGTCATCTCGAAGTTGCCAATATGATGATCCCAAGGGTCCTGAGTTTCGAAGTACCTGATTCATGCACCCATCCAGTGAAAACAAACCATTCCATAAACACCAGGCACCGGAAACGGTAAGCACATCAGAGCCGCTGACGCCACAGCAGCTAGGACGAGGAGGAGCACGAAAACAGCAGCACTTACAGTAGCCACACAAATTGTGGCAGTAGTGCAATACCTGACATACAGTAGGATTAGCAGCATTTTCAATAGCAGCAGCAGCAGCAGCAGCGGCAGCAGCAGCAGCAGTAGTAATTGTTGTGCAATACCTGCCTGACAATACCTGGCATACAGTAGGATTAGCAACATTTTCAATAGCAGCAGCAGCAGCAGCAGCAGCAGCAGCTGCAGTAGTGTTTGTTGTAGTTTTAGTAGTAGTAGTAGCAGTAGTCGTAGTAGTAGTCGTAGTAGTAGTAGTAGCAGTAGTCGCATAGTAGTCGTGGTAGCAGTAGTAGTAGTACTAGTAGTA